GAGTCAATTCTGACTTATAGCAACCAAATATAGGATTTCCAAGGAGCAGCTGGTGGGTTTGAACTGCCAACCTTATGGTTCATAATCCAGTACTTATCCCACAGCACCAAACCAGGAGACCTTAATAAGTTGTACACCTGTAAAAAATTGAATTGGCAAAACTTGTGTTCTAGGGATGTTTACAACAATGACAAAAATAAGAGCAGCTGCTGAGCCTGCTGAAGTACAAGCAAACACCTCATGGGATTTGGCTTCTTGGTTTGGAGGTTTAGGGTCATGGTTTCATGGGATATCTCAGTTAATTAGCCTAATAATGTGCTTAGTGCTTCTGTTTTACTGCTTATTTCGTTGCATAGTACCTGCGGTCTTAAAAGCTTGCAAGTGGGCATCCAGACATAGCCACTGATTTCTATTCACCTGGAGTAGCAGAGGAAGGAGAGTGAGAAACAGGAGGAGCGTATGAAATGTGTAGCTAACTTGCTCCTTGGAAAACTATCTCCTTTGCCACGAGACCTGAAGAACTGGATAGTGCCCGGTTACCACTACTGAACATTTTGATTAAAAATTCCATAGGCGAATCCTAATCAAAAGGGAGAAATGCAGACCAGAATTTCAAATTCTCATGGACTCTAGACTTTCTGGAACCTTGGAGGGTAGATGAACCCCTGGAACGATTTTCCTGAGATGATCTTTCAACCAAAAATATCCCCTGAAGTCATCTTAAAACCCAGTAGCTTAGCTTAAGTTGTTATTGTTGTTGTTAAGTGCCTTCAAGTTGGTTCTGGCTCATAGCAACCTTGTATAGGGTTTCCGAGGAGCGGCTGGTGGGTTTGAACCATTGACCTTGCAGTTCAACCCAAACTTGCAACTGTCTAGGGTTTATCTTACAGCACCACACTTAACTTAAGTAGTTAAATAAAAAAAAAGGCCTGCCTTGAGCATTATGCGCTATGAACTGGGAGTCCATGTAGATGAAGAAGGAACAACTCAGAGGGGAGAATGGTTGTGCAAATTGAAGAATGTCATCAATGTCCCTAAATCATACATGTAAAAACTTTAATCGGTATGTGTCTTGCTGTGTATATCCTCAACAACAGAAAATTTAGAAGGAAAAAATAAAAATCGAAAACTATCTCACAGGGTTGGGAGGATTATGAAAAACATAAATTAAACTCTGAGGCCTGTGCTCGACTCTGGGGAGATTCTTCCTGTTCGTTCCTTCCCCTCTAGGCAGCACGCAGATAAATGTGTACACCCACACAGGCACACAAACAGCATTAGAGACACAGACACTCCAAGCAAACAAAACAACACGGCGACATCTGGGCGTATTCCTACTCCCTCCCCAAAAAGGGCTTATATACAAGCCCATGTCCCTTGTCTGTTTTTGGCACATACCCACATACCACAAAATTTACTTCCTCCAATCCCAAAATGTGAATTTCTGCTTTTGTGCCTCTTGGGTTCTAATTCTTTTTGGAACCCTGAGTGTACCGCCTTCTCTCCTTCCATCTCGGTTCTTTCCACCATGACTCTATCCCCTAATAGTACCCACCCTGAACCTCCCCGATATCTCACCAGTCCTTCCCTTGCTTACCTCTTGCTGTTCTGACTGCTAGAATTCTCTCTGGGTCGCTAGGGTCCTAGCTTTAAGGGGCTGAAACATGGCAGAATCCCCTCCCACCCACACACCCCAGACCCTCCCACCAGCCAGCTAATCCTAGACAGGACATGAAGAATGGGCCCAACAGCTGGAGGGTTTGGGGCCCACCTGTGGCAACTGTCAGCTGGGTTTCTGGAGTATGGCTAGGGCCCCACAGAAGGGGAGTATTTTTGCAGAGTAAGGCCTTCACTACATGGAGGGAGACAGAAAAGTATTAGGGAAGCCAGGCAGCTGAATGGCACCGTACTGACCTGACCTAGATTTAAGCTGCAGTTTGGGGGCACATTTCTGAGGCTGGTTTCTCCTTGGGCTGTGGTAGAGGCACTGCTGGGGCTCAAGATACTCCTGCTGCTGCCAATCCAACTGTTCCTGCACACCAGCTGGCCAGCCCACTCCTCCACTACCCTGCCTCTCCTGCAGCTGCTGGGCTGGTCCTGCAGCCAAACTGGGGACCTTGTAGCAGCTAATCAGCCTACAGGCCAAGGCACCATGGTAAACAGGAGCCCTCAACCTAATACCAGCTGTGAGAGATTGTATTTAAAGTCCTGGCTGGAGACAGGCTGGCTGTGGCATCTTGAAAGGGGTGGAGGAGTGTTCTGAATCCTAGGGCCTTTTGTGGGCTGCAAAATGTTGATTCAGACGGGTAACTCTAGAGAGTAGGGCAGATTTAATCACATTGGACCCATCAGTTCATCTTCTCCAACTTGAACAGGGGAAGGGTGCCATGTCTGCCCCATTTCCAGCTTTGCCAGCTAACACATCAGGCCTCCATTTTAGTTTCTGGTCTGATACAAAGGCACTTAAACTCTCTGAATCCAGTTTCTCGCCTGTAGAAATTGATATTTAATAATAGCTACTACTTACTGTTCTGGTGTGATGCTGTAGGATAAGCACTGAACTGCTAACTGCAAGGTCAGTGGTTCAAACCCACCAACCACTACTGGGAAACCCTATACAGGGCCACTATGATTCAGGACTGACTCAATGACACATAACATTGACTGAGGAATTATATGTCAGGCACTGCTATAAACACCGCAACTTATTGAATCCATACAGCAACCCTCTGAAATATTTACTTAGTATCCATATTTTGCAAATGAGGCAGAAATGATTACATTCCCAAATAACAGTTAGTAAGCAGTAAATACCATTATCTGCCTCTAAACTTCCTTGCTGAATGCTATGTGTGAATCTTAACTAGTCTAAATGCATCATGGGAATGCCATTCTCCTTGGCAGTCGCCAAAGGATGGAAATATAACAAATTCCAGCCAATGAGATATGAGGAGAAACCTAGAGGTCTCCTAACAAACCTTGCTTTTCTTCACCTTTGAATGTTATGTGAACATGTGCTGTTTGGAGCTGTTTCAGTGATTTTGCAATCTTGAAAACCAAAGCCAAACCCGCTGCTGTGACTGATTCCAACACATAGCTACCCTATAGGATAGAGTTCAACTGCCCCACAGGGTTTCCAAGGCTGTGATCTTTATGGAAGCAGAGTGCCACACCTTTTTCCTACAGAGCAGCTGGTGGGTTTGAACCACCCCCCTTGCAGTTAGCAGCCAAGTGCTTTAACTATGGCACCACCACAACAATAGCCAATAAATTGTGAGCAGTTAGACTAGAAAGTTCAAAGAACCTAGGTTGGTTGGTTTGCTTTAACGTCAATGTTAAGCAGTCAAACTAACCAACATTGAAACTGAAGCTATTCTCTAGACTTACGGGAAAGAAAAATAACCTTGTTTTGGCACTTAGTTGGGTCTTTTTTCCCTTGCATCTAAAAGCTGTGATGCAATATACCTCCCTGGAGACATACATAGAGCAATATTTAGTGAAGTTACTGTGTGCAGGGTCTGTGCTATGTAACATTTTCTTCAAAACTTAGGACAGACAGCTTGTCTGAGATTCCCAGTTTGTCAGTATCAGAGCAGAAATTACTATTCTGTGGTGAAGATGAAATGGAATCACACAGAATTCCTTTACTCCTTTGGGTACCCCAAAGCCATTACCTCTGCCCCTAAAGCAATCTGGGAGCTGGTGGCATAAATATTTGCATACAAACTCTTTTCCCTTATGAGAACACACACTTCCAAAAAGGACCTTTTATCCTGGGCTGAGGTGAAAATGTTTGGCGCCACAGCAGTAGGTGCCCTAGCATGTTCACTTTGCCCCAAGGTCACAAAGGGTCAGACAGGCAAGATGGCCGTTTCAACAGTGGATAACCCCTATCCACTCTGATCCCTACTGCACAAGGCGCCCTCTGCCAGGACCTCCAGGACTCCCCCAGGCTGTGGAACCCCACTCTGACACTTCAGCATTCCAGACTTGGCTCTTAAGTCGCATTGGAAGGTGCCACAGTTTGTCACTAGGAGCTGGAAGTTTCGGCTCTGAAAATGATTATATGTCCATCTTTGTTGGTGCTGCAAATCTAAATGCCAGAGATGAAGCAGAATAGGAGGGAACACCTCATGGGGCTAAAAAGGGCACAGGCAAACCAGGTACAGGTGTTCTGCTGGGGTCAACATGTAAAATTTAAGCATGTGGTTTTAAAAACCTTTAAAATGTACGTGCCCAGGACTCTCAAATTTTGAGGGAAAAAAATCAGTGAGGTATGCAGAGGTGATTTACTGTGGAGCTCTGGTGCATCAGTGGTTCAATTTAACCAAGCCCACCAGCCAGGCACTCCTCGGGAGAAAGATGTGGCAGGCTGCTTCTGTAAAGAGTACAGCTTTGGAAGCCCTATGGGGTAGTTTTACTCTGTCTTCCTGGGTTGCTATGAGTTGGAATCAACTCAGTGACAATAGGTTTTGCTTCGTTTTTCTTTACAATACCAAAAAAATGGAAACCAGATAAATGCTTTTCTGGGGGGAGGGGAGAGAAGAGGGTAGGTTGAGTATACATTATGGTACGTCCTTACAATGGAATACTATACAGCCCTTAGACGTGATAAGGTAGAATGGAGTTATATTAAAAAAAGAAAAAAAAAACATAATAAAATAATAATATATTATCTCATTCTCATTAAAAACAAATTATGTATCAAGGCATAGAAAAACACAGAGAAGTATAGTCACACCAACAAATTGAAAGTGCTTGTTGGGGACGAGAGGGAGATTTGAGGTTTGAGCAATTTAAAGTTTTTTGCGTATTTTCTTTTTTTACATGCCATAACGACTTCTGTATGTATACGATGTACTCCTGAAAAGAGCAATAGAAGTCAGAGAGAGAGGAAGCAGGACCAGCTAGGAAGATGTCTGTTTCAGCAATGGATGGCTGGGGGTGGTCTGAGGATCTGGTGGGAGAATCTGTGTGCTCCACCGTGGTCCTGGATGGGATCAAGAGACAGAGCTCTTCCACTTCCAGGATCCCGTGAATGTACGTGCAGTCTTCTTCCTTGTGAGTCTGGCCCCTCCTGGGCCTGGACTGAGACCTGACAGACATCCAGCAGTATCAGGAGGCTCAAGCAGACGATGGCCGGGATACACGTGCTCAGTGACTCATTCAGAGCCACCAAAGTGAAGATAGCCCCTGAAATGGAAAGTGAAGTCCTTGAGGCTTCCTGGGAGCACCCAGGAGATCCAAAAGCCCAGAGTACCCCAATTCAACCTACGCCTTTCTACTAACCCCAAGCCACACCCCTCAAACCAGCTGCATTCATCTCTCCTGGCTCAGAGGACAGGGCAGAAGCAGGAGCAATCCAGTCAATAGAAGAGGGGCTGAGGTGGGATGTTAGAACAATTTCTCCCTGATTCTCACCTTTCTTAATGTTATATTTACTAGAGAGGAGGCAGCTCAGGGGTTAGTAGTTGGAGGTTATTGGAAAGATCCAGAGGGAAGCTCCAGAGATGTAAAGAAAGCCTAAAGAAGAGGAGAGGGCAGCAATGGAGATACAAGGCCAGGGGATACAGAAGAGCCTGAAGATGTCTAGCTTTTGAAACAGTAGTTGTCTTTGACAGCAATTCCCACAGGCCAAGCATCTATAAGGGACTGTGCAATCTATAAGGGAAATTAATCATCTTCCTATTTAAGGGACCCCAGCTTCCCTGCTCTTTGCCCCCACCTGCCAGACACACAAATGGCAATTGCTACTCATCCCATCATTGCCGGCGCTAAGGGTGAGAAGGTGGATTTGGAGTCTCTTAAGTTCCTTACAATAGAATACTATATACACAGTCACTAGAATTGATGAGGTAGAACCATATTCCATATTTGACACGGAATGGTATTAACAGTATATTGTTTGAAATGCACCTGAGCTAGTCTAAAGACTGGCAATTGCAGTAGAGTGGGAAGTGCTCCTGGTCCCAGGAAAGCAAGGAACAGCCAGGTCTTTCCATCATCCTCCCATGTGTCCCCATAGCCCCAGCCCAAGTGATTCCCCCTTACCAATCATGAGCAGGGTCAAAAATATGTTACTGATTTCTTGAAGGATCGGTGAGCCCAGGATCAGCAGCAATCCAGCCAGCAGTTCCAGCCAGCCCACAGTCGCTTGGTAGCTCACTGGATCTGGCTGGTAACCTAACACCTTCAACGGGAACACCTCAGCAAACTGCACGAACAGGACTTTCTAGGGGCAGCAGGGAATACCCATCAGCCATACTCAACAACCTAACAACCTAGGTGCTCTGCATGAGCATTTTGGGTCTTCACCCTCAGCCTACACCCACCCTGACACACACACACACAAAGGAGCTAGTCTAGGTCAGGTTGAGGGTTGAGGGCTGAGGTCAGTCTGGGCTGAGCTTTGGGATGAGGAAACAGGCTTTATGCTCCAAATGAGAACAGCTAGATGGTGGTTACCAGAGTGAATTGCAGAAGGGAGTTGGGCTTGGGCCTTCCCATCTAGTGCCAAGACCTTGGGAACTCCACAGCTTCTTTTTTTTGTGCCTGGCCTGGTTTCTCTTCAGACTCTTTGGCAGGAAATATTTGGAGGTGGGGAGAAGGTGGAAGGGCAGATTGTTGCTGATTAAACAGATTCCAGCCCGGATCTAGCTGGGTTCCGGATCGCACTTGGTTGCTCTTAAGTGCAATCGAGTCAGTTCCGACCCATACCGACCCTCTGTATAACAGAACAAAATACTGCCTGGTCCTGTACCATCCTCACAATTACTGCTACGCTTGAGCCCATTGCTGCTGCCACTGTGCCAATCACTGCTATTCATTAAGGCTTTCAGTGACTAAACATTCTGAAATAATAAGTCTCTCCTTCTTCCAATCTGTCTGAGTCTGGAAGCTCAGCTGTAACCTATCACTGTGGGTGAGCCTGCTGATATTTAAAATACTCGTGGCATAGCTTCTACCTTCACAGCAACACGCAAGCCACCAGTGTGGCAAACCGGCAGTAAGTGCTGCTGTATCTCACTATAGCAGCCAAAAGGGTGTTGAGGGGGTTCAAGTGATTCCTCCTGTTCTGTCCTGTGGCAAATGATAACTTGACTCCTACTCTTTGGGTAGCTACTTTTCTTGCCCCTCCTCGCCCCCAGTTCAGTCTCCTTTGCTCAGCGGTGCAAAGGAAGAAGTTTAAGATGTGTGGCTCTTGGCATATACTTCCCTGAGCCAAGCAGGGAGAGAAGTAACCCAGGCCAGGACAGAAAGGCTGGCGTGGGCATTTCCAAACCTGGCTTCTTTGAGATGCTGCCCCAGGAAACAAACGCTTTCTTCTCGTCTGGAACTAGATCGGAGGCTGACAAGGTAACTTCTCAGAGCCATGAAATGAACCTCTAGATTCTGAGTCCGTATAGTGTCTAGTTTGGGTTCTGGCTCCTGACTAGCTGTGTAACCTTTGGCAGATGACATCTTCTTAGGAGCAAATTTCTTACCCCGCAAAGTGGAGTTAACAAGTCCCTGTCTTCCCAACCTTCCAAGAGCTCAACGGTCGATAAAACGGGCGTGTAGGGTGGGTCATCTTTCCATCCCCTCATTCTTCCTCTGGCTCTAAATTTGCCTGGGGCCACTAATGCTCAGCCTGAAGGGGACGACATCCCAGGCAGTCCCTGGAAGATTCAGAGAACTTCGGGGAAACTCCAGAAAAGGATCCCACACATCCGTTGAGGTCCAAGTTCTTTTTCCCCCCAACGCTAGCGCTGATTCGGGGGCAGTGCGGGGCCCGGGCGCGCCGGCAGCCGGAGGAACGGCCGAGGAGAGCAGCGCGCGCCGCCCAGCCCGCTTCCCGCCCGCCCGCGCCACACCGCTCACCATCTGCTCCGACACCGGAGCCGAGATCTGCTCTGAGAGTTTGGCCGCCCCAGTGAGCATGAAGAAGCCGCCCACCAGAAGGCGCAGAGCAGCGAGCAGGCGCGCCATGGCCGCGTATGCCCTCCGGAAAGCGTGCTGTTTGCCCGGCCGACGGTTGACACCTCCGATAACCCGCCTCTGGGCGCCGGGTCATTTCCTCCCTGTCCCCAGCGGCCGGAAGATCCGCGCCTAGAGCCTGCGTTGTCCTCACCTCCCAGGACCGGGTGCTGGAGGAGAGGGTGTGAGGGCGGATCAGCCCCATAGTATAGAGGACACCAAGACCCACTCCTTTGTAACTGACAGAACCCGTCCCTTTGAATACAGGCGTGCTTCCCGCCGACAAGGAGTGGCGGCAAACACGGTTATCAGGACCTGCTTCCAGATGAGCTCAGCTCTTAGTCCCAGCCTGTGCCATGCTTGCTGTGGAATCTGGGAAGTCCCCTATCATCCGTTGGCCTAAGTACAGTATCTACACTTAGAAATGGACATGAGGCCACTTCACTGCCTTGAACAAACCTAGTACAGAGCCTGGCACATTTTGTAAAGAGTTCAAAAAGTTATTTTAAAACTTTTTAAGCACCATTGAGTAGGTTCTTAGCGACCCTGTATAGTGTTTTCCAAGGAGCGACTGGTCTTGAGGTTACCAGTCCAGTGCTTATCCTTAAGCGTCACACCAGTTGCTCTCATTTTCTGAATAAAGTATCTTTACCCTTTTATTTCTCCCAACTGAAATGAACATGTGAAAGGTATTTGAAATATTCACGTACTTACAGTCATGGGAAGTGAGGTTTTCACTGCACAAATCCTTGCCATCTGTCCTCACCTGCAATCTGTCTAGAGCTAGGATGGGACAAACTGGGGGCCAAATTCAGTTGACTATTTGGTTACTATTAAACCCCTCTCCCTGACATAAGCTAGTGATTAAAAAAAAATTCTTAATGATTAAAGAAATCAAAGATTTCATGATACGTTAAAGTGTATGAAATTCATATTTCAATGTTCCTAAAGTGTGGTGCTGTGGGTTAATGTGCCAGACTGCAAAGCCATTTCAACTGCAAGGTCAATGGTTCAAGCTCACCAGCTGCTCCTCAGAAACCTTATACAGGGTTGCTATGGGTCGGGCTGACTCGACGGCACTCATCAACAACAACAAAGTATAATTGGAACAACCATATTAATTTATTTGTGTGTGTAGTGTATGGCTGCTTTTGTGCTGTAACCAGAGTGGAGTAATTGCAACAGTATGACCTGCAAAGTATTCGCCATCTATCCCTTTCTGAAAATAGTCTGCCAAGCCCTTGGTCTAGTGGGCCACCAAATCCCAAAACCAAACCCACTACCATCAAGTTGATTCCAATTCATTCCGACTCTATATAGGGTTTCCAAGACTGTCAATCTTCATGGGAATAGACTGTGTAGGACCAAAGAGAAGAATCCATTTTGTATATAAGCTTTAGCACGTCCTCTAGCTCCAAGAAAATGATATATGTATAAATAGCCAGGCAGCTCAAGGCCAGATGCCAGATGTTTTCCTTTGCCCTAGCCTAAGAACAAAGACCACCAGTCCTGACCAATTAAACTGTAACATCTCATAGTCTGCCAATTGTTAACCAATTCAAAAACTGTAAAGCTGAGAAACCCGAGCTTGTTTGAAAATTCTATAAAAACCCCACAAAGGGTTCGGGGCTCTATCCCTGATCTGCTGCGTCGGATGCAGGTGGAGTCCGAGCTCGAGCTTGAATAAACAATCCTTTTGCACTTGCATCGGTGTCGGCTCCTTGGTGGTCTTTGGGGACCCCAAATTCTGGGCATAATGACTGCCATGTCCTTTTCCCAGAGTGGCTGGAAGGTTTAACCTGACAATCATGCAACTAGTAGCCCAATGGAGTCCTGGTGTGCAAAGTTAGTTTGAGCCACAAGGCCGGCAGTTCAAACTCACCAGCTGCTCTTTGGAAACCCTATACAGGGTCACTATGGGTCAGAACTGACTCAAGGGCACTTCAGTAGCAACAGTAGCCCAATGCCAAAGCCACAGCGCCACCAGGGATCTTTCTTCTGTGTCATAGAGGCCCCAAACCAAAGCCTCAAACTCCCCTGGCTAAAGAAAGAACTCTCCCAGGTATTGTAAAGGTCAACCCACTTTAGTGTCCAATTTATACTATTATGAATCTAGGAGTCCTGGTGTGGTGCATTGGACTGCAAAGTTGGTTTGAACCGCAAGGTTGACGGTTCAAGCTCACCAGCCGCTCCTCAGAAACCCTATGAAAGGTCACTATGGGTCAGAACCACTCGGCACTTAACAACATTATGAATCTGGGCCTCTCATTACCTGCAATCTTTGTCATTTATCCAAACAATTTGTTCAACTGACAAAACAGCTAAATTATCTACTTAGGACTATTATGTATAAGTGATTATTAAATTCCTCAACAAACAGAAAAAAATCATCAAAACATTTAATCACTTAAAACACAAATCCACATTAGGAAATTATATTTTAAGATATATATATAGATATAGATATATAGATCTTAAAATTTTAACACAAAATTATAGACTTTGATAATATACATGTTGCCATTCTTTCTCTTTTACTAATTTTTCTATCCTTGGTATTAAAGACGTGACTGCAAGTCTTAGGGCTGGACCAGAAACCAACAGATTTCTTTGTTTTGACTTCCTCAGAGCTGAAAATGTAGTGTCACATAAATAAATTGTTGAAAAAGGTAATAAAAGTTTCATTGCCTTTTCATGGAGTTCTGGATAATTTGTCTTAACATTTATCCAAGACTGAGTTACAGACACTGAGTTAAATATTGATTGTAATTCTAAATCTGAAGATAACTGGTTTAGCTTTTCTTCTTCAAAGTTGGTGAGAGTGCTATTTTGGTGATTCAAAAAAGAATTAGTTATCCATAAATATCCTGAGCGAGCATAAGTCTTCTGGTGGGTAACAGTCCTTAAACATTTGAGAAAGTCTTTCCAGGTGCTCAAAAATAATGTTTGTGATGCTTCTCATATTTAAATCTGATGAGTTTGAGAATTCAGAAAATGAAGGGAACATGTCATAATCATTTTCCTGTGTGCACTTCAACCACATTTTCAACTTTCTCTTAAACATATCAATTTTATTATAAAAACTAAAGAGAGTAGTCATAGTGCCTTAAAGACTTAAGTTTAAGTCATTTATAAATGAAAATATATCTGATAAATAGGCCAGCTTTGCAACCCAGTCCTCATCATGAAAACATTTAGCCAAACTGGAATGTTTTTTATTTAAAAATATTTCAATTTCATGTCGTAATTGAAATAATCTTGTTAAATCCTCCCTCTCGATAGCCAACGAACTTCAGCATGAAGTGGTAAATTCACATGCTCACACCCCATATCTTCACACAAAATTGTTAACATTCGTGAATTCAGTGTATTGCTCTTGATAAAACATAAAATTTGTGCTGACTGTAAAAGAATTTCATGTAAGTGTGGAGACAACTTTTCAGCTGCTAAATGTTCATGGTGAATAAAACACTGAGTAAATGCCACTGTATTCATAGCAACTTCCTGAATTTTCACCCTTAAACCAGAATACCTGCCAGTCATGCTTGCAGCCCCATCTGTACAGAGACCAATACAATGTTTTCAATTCAGAGATTTACTATTAACATATTTATTGATTAGTTCAAATATTTCAAAACCAGTTATTTGAGATGGTGTTTCAATGCAACATAGTAATTCTTCTTTTAAATCATTACAATCATAATCAATAAAACGAATATAGCACAAAAGAAGGGTGATATTTGAGATTTCTGATGTCTCATCTATTTGAAGGGCAAACCATTTTGACTCTCTGACTTTTTGAATCACCTGATCTTCAATGTCTGCAGAAAGTTCATCAATCCTGTGTCCAATCATATTATTAGAATGAAGGATAGTTTTCATTTTGCCTCCAGCACTTGAACCCAAAACTTCTGAACACATGTCTACCAAATATGGTTTTATTAATTCTTCAGCAATGGAAAATGGCTTCTTGCTGGCAGCAATTTAGAAAGCAATTAAATAAGAAGCTTTTACAAGAGACTTTTCAACTAGTAAATACTTCTTTAATGAACTATTTTGACATTCCATTTCAAGAGATTTTTGTTCCAAAAAATCTACTGGTTTGTTTTCTAATTCTGAATGTTTTGTCCTCAAATGATGAGAGAAATGTGCTGGCTTCATGTTTTCACTGGATAAGATTTCTCCACAAATGACACATTGTAGTCTCAGTGAACTTTCTTTCGGTCCAGAGGACATAATAAAGCCAACTTTTAAATAGTCAACATCATATGTCTCAAAACAACCTCCTTTGTTTTTCTTTGCAGGTGGAGAATCAAGTTCTGCTTTATTTTTCTCGTCGGGCAGAGGTAAATCTGAATGAAATATTTGAATCACTGTTATTTTTCAGGTACAAATCAGCAACATTCCCCATACCTTTAAAATTTCTATTCTGTCACTATTTACATTTATCAAAAGAGTACACTGATAAAACATAAGCCATATACCTCTATGATGCCATTTTAAAAAAATGAAACCAACTGTCATCTACTCATAGTAACCCTGTATAGGGTTCCTGAGGCTGTAAATCTTTAAAGGAGCAGAAAGCCTCATCCTTCTCCCACAGAATGGGTGGTAGTTTCGAACTGTGACCTTGAGGTTAGCAGCCCAACTCATAACCATTGTGATACCAGAGCTCCTTACATACTATGTAATGTAACTATACATAAAAAATTAAACCATTCCAGATACATTAAAACATCTTTAATTTAATAATACAATAATGATAATGTTTTGCTGTGCACTGCAAAATAGCAACCATTTGTTATTACAAACTATTGTATGTACCTCAGATTTTTAATATAATAAACTTTACAGAGGTTGGGACCACACACATAAATGCAGTGGTCAGACATTGCCCTAATGGACATTATGCAGCATATAACTGTATAATATCAATTCATGTATGCAAATAGTGTATCATTTTTTACAGGAATAAAAAATAATCAGATTTACTGAAGAAGGAAAATAGGATTCCCCTGACTTCTAGCCAACAGAAAGGCACCCTACATAAAAACCCATGATTACCTGTTGACATACTAAGCTTTAAAATTATTAACAAAAACAATAATAAAAGATGTTTGTAAAGAATAAGCTATTAAGGAATATGAAGGTATTGGGACTTAAAGTAGGAGGGCAAGTCAAAAAGTATTTCTATAAATTCATAAAAACTTATTAAACAAAAATATCAAAATGTGAGAGAGGAACGCACAAATAGAATGTGGGACCTTATCCAGAGAAGCAGCAGCACCAGAGATGGAGGCAGAGATGGGGGCATAGAGAACTCTAGATTCATCAGCTAAGAAGAGGACTAAGAACTGGTGGCCAGGAGCGGACTTGCAGAATGTACCCTTTGGAGATGTAATTTATTATATATGCCTGAGTGGGTTTTTTTGTTTGTGTGTTTTT